ACACACACACATATATACGTATATATATATCCTCTAGCTTTTTCTCCGCCTGGAGCGATATAATATATCTGACGAAATTGTTTTTATAAGCATTTTTTATTAAAGAATTATAAATACTTCGATAAACATATTTAAATAATTTTAGTGCCAATTAAGGCCTTGATAAAAAAAAAAAAAAAAGAATGATTTTTTAATTATTTTTATTGATCCGCGGACACCCTGGTTCATCTCGCGCATGCTCTGTACGATCTCCAAGGAAACTCAGAGCGGAGCGGCTGGATCCACAGTGGAGGATGGATGCTTTGCTTTGTGCAGGCGGTCTGGAGCGAAGTATGTGGGATTTCGGGGTAAAACTCCTCTTGGACGCGATGGCGACTCTGGATCGAACAAGATGAACTCAAAGAAGAGATGCTAGCGGTAAATATATGTTCGATTACTGCCTGCTAAGCTAAAAGCGGCCTAGCCTGAGCTACGGCTAATAGCAGCCTAGCTATTAGCCTATCTAGCCTAGCCTTGCAAGAACAAGCTTTATTAAAGTGTATTTTTTGTGATTCACAGGAAGCAGTACGCCGTCTTAACAACTCGGAGACTAATTGCAGGCGCTATGAACCGGAGCAAGGGTAAGATTTAAAGAATATGCTTTCATTCTGCGGTAAAAGGCAATGGATACGGATAGATACCGATCATAGCTGTACATTTTGTTTTCACAGGCCTCCTATTTGCTCGGAGTCATATCAGCAAGTCCAGATTTTCACGATGTTGATGGAGACGACATTGTGTGTAAGTGACTTGTTTTAATGTTTTCTCCTTCCTTGTTACTGTGACTTGCGTTTGATTTTTTATTTATACCACTCTCATTTAATTGTTTTCCAGCTGCCTGTAAGACGTATTTTCAGACGGTACGCAGGAGCTTCAGATATACGCAGCCAGCCAACACGCTGCGTGCGGAGGCTATCTGCTCGGAGTCGGGCCATAAGAAAGAGGGTAAGACTTTATTTGGTGACTATTTTTCAGGTGCATTAATAGATGTGTTGTGTCCATACGCAGTGCGCTGATTGAATTTTTTTTTTTTTCAGCTGCTGAAAGCGAGGCATAGTGTGCTAGCAGATGAGGAAGTGGAACTCTGGAAGTCCGCCTTCCTCGGCGGTGTCTCTGGATGGATTGTACGGTCGCCGCCATTTCGTAGGCCGGATCTCACTGAACTCTGTGTTAAGCTGCAGTACCGGTTAGAAGCGATGCCGAAGTACAGGGCCACGCACAGTAGGCGTCTGCACATCGGACCTGCCTCGGAGGGAATGCTGCCAGTTACCTCCAACCCCGAGGAAGCAAACGGACCGTTCACGGACTTTTAATTTTTAGAAACGCATGTGTTTGGATATGCGTTGTATATAGTTGTGTGTGTTTTAATAAAGCTCTTTCTTTGCATAAACAGCTTCCTGGCAAATCTTCATTTCCTGTATAAATTCATTCATGTCCTTGATGGTAGCATAATAATTGTGTAGTAGTGTAGGATAACATAAATACACAGCATATGAATGAATAAATATATGAATGAATAAATATATGAATGAATAAATATATATATATATGAATAAATATATATATGTAAATATATATATATGCCAACCAATCACGAGCGACTTTACTTGTTTAAAAAGAAGTGGTTCCGTCCAATACTCAGTAAGAAAATTAAAGCCTGGCGTGGCCACGTGTGGTTCTGCTGCCAATCACGAGCGATTTTACTTGTTTGAGAATAGTGGTTTCAGCCAATACTGAGTAGGTTATTCAAGCCAGACCTGGCCAGCCGCAAGGGTTTGCTGCATTCATATGCTAATTAGGGCCATTAGTACAGCTGATCGCTCTCCACATACGTCATGGTACGTTTCCGACAATTTGTGGCACGACAAACGCGGACAAGCACGGGTTGCAAATTGTCGGAAACTGACGAAAATCAGGGAGATCTGCGGGAGTTTACGGGGGTTTACGGGGACGAAAATCTCACTTTTCATGCAGTGGTGGGTTCCTGAGCAAGACACTTAACACTTAAGGCTGTGTAGGTACCCAGGTATAAGTCAAAGGGCCTTTATGCTCATAAAAAAAAGGACATAGTGGCCTGATTTTCAGAGTAACTGTGCCTTTCTTTAATTCTCATTTTGACAAATCACCTAAAATTAAAACAGCTAACTCGGGCTAGGTCAGTAGCACTAAGGGATAGATGTCTCTGATCCATGTGTTTTATGTAGCTTCTCCAAGTCTTTACACCATCATTTACTCCAGCAGGGGGAAAATTGTAGTCCGGACAGACGTTTCTCCTTGGCTCTAGCTTGGCCCCACTGTGTCTCTACCTTTTTTATACGTCATCCAAAATAATCAGTTATCCTTAGCCTTCTTCAGTATTTGTGCTGCTATATGTTTAGGCTGCTGGAGGACATAGAGATAATTTTTCCTCCTTCTACTTCATTCCATCTCTTTTCATTCATTCTGCAATATTTGTCGGTTTCCACTAGGGCTGCAACAACCTGTACTTGTGTGCTTGTTTGTTCTTTCTAAAATTTTTATTTTGGAATAAAGAGGTTAATATAAAAAATATTTTTTGTCCGATTCATCGATTAATCGAAAAAATAATCGGCCGATTCATCGATTTTTAAAATAATCGTTAGTTGCAGCCCTAGTTTCCACTCATACATTCATGTTCTCTTAGATTTTTCTCATCTTAGTAGCTTCATCTAGTATGTTCCTGTTCAGTTGTGACTCCATCTTGGATTAAAATATCAGCTGTGCTGCTGCCATTAACATCTTAGTTTATAGATGTTTGGTCTACATTGCTCAACAGCACACCTAATGAGGAAAATTATTTATTACAAAATATTTATTAATGCAACTTTTTTTTTTCATATTTTCTTGGCCTACTGTGTAAACTCTCGTCTCTTGTAGGCTGTAGGAAAGGCTTGAGGTATTTTCACAATATTGACTTGAAGAAGGTTTTATGGGGTGATAAATCTGCGTATGATTCATGCAGGGCAAGAAAGCTCAGGGCACTGAGATGTTTGCTTTTTTTTTTTGTTGAAAAGGCCCCTAAAACGAAGATTGACCTCCGGGAACGTTATGCTGGAACATTTTAGTGGTTTTTATCTTGTACCAGTAAGCTGCCATGCTTAGATGAGTCAGATAAATACCAATCAAAGTGTAGCACATTTAACTGACCTGTCAATGAACTGATCGATGATGACGATGTCTCCAGGCTGAATCTCTTCCCTCAGGGAGCCACAAGCTGTGGTGCCCACCAGATGAGTGCAGCCTTCCTCTCTGAGAGCCCAGATGTTGGCCTGGTAGTTAACATTCGATGGCATGATGGTGTGCTGTCTCCCATGTCTACGTTTGGCAATAATAGAGATTTTTATAAACATAAACGGAGCAAAAGCCAAATCCAACCATGTTTTCCCCATTGGATGCAGTGAGCACTGAGGAGCTTACCTTGCCAGGAGCACACATTCCACATTTTTGATCTTCCCCAATATCAAAGCATCTGATGGCTGTTTAGAAATAAACAACAGACCGTTCAGACTGAAACTTGACTTCTTAACACTAAGGTAAGTGTACTTTGGGACTTGCCTTTCCATAGGGTGTGTCAACGTAACGCTCTGTTCTTCCCTCCAGGATATCTGGATCATCAAGGCCTGAGCCACCAATGATTCCTATCTAAAGAATAAAAAAAACAAAGCAATAAATCAGACTTCAGCAACAAAAGTTGAAATTTGAAACTACAACTTTGGTGGCTTCACTCGGCTCCAGTGGTTTCCTGCACTACAACAGTCCTTACAAACAGAAACAACGATCGCCTCATCCCCACTCAAATGATTTACTATACAAACTAGACACACACTCCAACCACAGGCAGTAGTTCCCACAATAAAAGTGTGATTTCATCATATAAAACACCTAATTATTTAATGCAAGTGGCCTCAGTCTTGCAGAGGTCTGTTTGGCTACATTCAAACTGTGAACTGAATAGGATACTGTGCTCTTACTGAAAGCATGAGACCATCAGGGGACAACGCCAGTGACTTTCATTATACCGTATGGCCCACAGAAAATATACACACGGTGTGAACATCCTTCAAACTTTCATCATTCGTTGTTTTCCTTTAAATATTTCAAAACTGAACAACTATGTGATCAACTATACTGTGAACACCACATTTTCTTTTTTTTCCTTTAACAGCATTAGATTTTCCTCTGTTAGTAAAATCAACTAAAGGAATGTTGTACACTATTTGTGCTTTTTCCCCTGGAGGGCCTCATCCTCAGGCGTCAGTTTTAAGTTGGTCTAGACCAGGGGTCTCCAACCTGTGGCTGTGGAGCCATAAGTGGCTCTTTATAGACACTCCACAATGACTCATTATCACGAACGCTAAAAAGCAGATATATGAACAATAGCTGGTTATCATTTTCTCCATTGACTAATTGTGTTGCATTTCTCTAAATACAACAGACATATATATTTGGATCATTTTTAGGTGGTAGAAATGTTGTTTATTTAACAAAGTTCTAATCTAGGGCTGCATCTAACAGTTATTTTGCAAATCGATTATCTTTTTGATTAATCGATTAATTATCGAATAGCCAAAGATTCCTTACGAAATTAAACCAGAGGAAAATAAAAAATTTTTTGTTCTGGATAGAAGACATTGCCAGACAAATACTTTTTTTTTTCTTAAACGCAAAATGTGGATATATTTTTTAACAATTTTGGCATAACTACTGCTCTATGCGGGTTGCTCTGTCAGCTAAAGGCACATTTTAGAGTCTTTATACTCCATGTAATGAAGAGGTCTTCATTACTGGGACTATTTTTATGTATATAGCTTTTTATGTAAATAGCTTGTAGCACTTTTAAGGGCCCTTTGCACTTTATTAACAATCAGCTTGCTTAGCACTAGGACACTTTATTAGGCACTGCACTTTAAGCATAGATTTGCACATAAAGAACAGTTTGCACACAAGGTTTTTAAAATATTTATTGAATATTTATTGGGTATTTTAATAGTTAGCATGTAGCCTTTTGTTCAAGGCTCTCCACAGCTGCTCTCCATTAGCAATTGGGGTGGTTGTCTGTGGAAAAGAGGATTGATGTTTAGAGCAAGCAAGGGTTACTGTTTAGAAACTTCAGCAAATGTTAGTGTAAAGTCTGTTAGAAGTAAGTGCAAAATAAGTGTTGTGGTGCTGAGAAAGTGACTTACCTGTCTTTTCTGTGTCCTCTCCAGGGTGTTTGGACAAATGCATCCCCGGGGGTCCAGACACCATTTATAGGTTCTGGGAGAGGCCATGGAAAATACAGGGGGAGTTGTGCACATAGTTTGTGGGATTTCTATAGTGTTCGGGTGCAAGTTAAATCAGAAAATGTTTATAAAAAAATAACCTTAAGTGTATGTTTGTAGATATTTGATTTAAATGTGTATTTTTTGATGGAAGTGAGGAGTTATTTATTTTTTTTTTTTGTAAATGGTTTAGTCCATCAGCTGTGTCTATTTAAGCTAGAGATTGTGTGTTTGATGGAGACTGAATGCTGTGGAGCCAAATAAACCTGTTGATGCCTCAACTTTACTCTGCCGGACAAGTTCATTGCCTCACTGAAAATCCAGCCGAGAGGTCGCCTGGTAACACTCCAGTGAAGGATTAATAGATTACTAAATTAGTTGATGATTATTTCAATAATCGATTAATCAAGATTAATTCCAATTAATTGTTTCAGCCCCACTGTAATGTACCATAAAATCATACATGTAGCCCATTCAAGGCCAATTTCTAATTCATTAGTGCTTCATATGCAAATAAACAGAGACTAGAGAGACGGCTGGGTAATGAAGTATTGATTTCTATTTCTGCACTTCTGTTGTATACTGGAGTAGACTTCTAGGGGTGGCAATGATAATAAACCTGTGAAAAACATTTACTGGTAAGAAATCTGTTTACATTCCTGTTTGGATTTCCCTTTCTGCATGGACTCACAATCAGTAAAACCTTTTGCTATTTTATTTTGTTTGCCTCACCACTAATCGGCTTGTAGTCTGACCCTTGCAGCCTGATCTTATCTTACTACCTTACTGAACAGCCCCACCCTGCTTTTCTCATTTTCCCCTCTGGTGTGATCTGGCATGAAATAAACTGTGCTGTAGATGGTAAAGCAGGACTAAGGCTACGTTCACACTGCAGGCCTTGATGCTCAATTTCGATTTTTTTACATGGCTGTTCATATTTCCAAATATATGCGACTTGTATGTGATCGCCTGTGTGAACTGCAGTCATACAACGCAAGTGTCCCGCATGTGCAGTAGGGGGCGGAATGACGTCACAGGCCAGGGTGGTCTTTTTTTTTCAGAAGTAAACATGGATGGTAGTACCGGCACGCATGTAGCAGTCTTTTCCATCCATAAAAACACAATCTTTTAAATACGGTTAAACATAAATACTGCTCTCCTCATCATCATCTGCCATGGTTGTTGTTTTTCTTGCCTCTTCTGCGTACCAAGACGCAGTATAGTGACCTTTGTCGGGTATTAACGATGTGCAGGTCGGACGAATCCGACCTGGCCGTTCACACACAGGTCGCATTTGAAAAGATCAGATTCGTATCGGATTGGGACCACATAGCCAAGTGGCCTGGGTCGCATTGGAAAAAATCGGATCTGTGTTGTTCAGACTGCCATGAAAAGATCAGATCCAGGTCGCATATGGGCAAAAAAAAAAAAAAAAAAAATCAGATTTGGGACATTTCAGGCTGCAGTGTGAACATAGCCTAAGTCAGTGTTTTTCAACCCTGGTCCTCAAGGCACAGCTTTCTCACACCAGTTCAATTGATAGCAGATTATCAGGCTTTGCTGAACTGCAATCATCTGAATCAGGTGTGCTGAAGCTCAGAAACATCCAAAACATGCAGAGCAGTGTTCCTTGAGGACCAGGGTTGAAAAACACTGGCCTAAGTGACCGGCTGACTAACCACATTGAGCAGACATCACTACTTCATGAAATGACTATGAAGGGGAGTGGGGGCCTAGGGGGAGCTTGAAATCCCGAGGTTGTGAGTTTGAGCCCCACTCCCGCAGACAGCAACTCTGGGTCTCTGAGCAAAGACCTTTAACCCCACACTGCTCCCCAGGCGCCCTACAATGGCAGCCCACTGCTCCCCAAGGGGATGGCAATAATGTGAGAGCAATAAAGTTGATTATAAAATCTGCTTAATTATCATTACAACCCTCTTCATCATTCTTCACCTTCACTACACATGGATATACTTTAGTATATTCTGCCTTAAAGGAATAGTACACCCAAAACACGATTAGCCTTCATTTTCTACTCACCCCCATGCTGAACAACACTCTGGAGTACTTTTTTGATATCTCAAATGCATCTGGAGATCTGGGAGGCTTCTTGCTGTCTGCTGACATTCAAATAATGGAGGTCTATGGCGCCCGAGGCAGAAAGGTCCATAAAAGTCCACAAAAAACGTATCAATATTCCTCCATACTGCTCGTCCAATGTATTCCAAGTGTCCTGAGTGGGTAGCATCCAGAATTTACTCGAAACGAAGTCATTTAGAATGTTTTTAGAGCATAAACAGTAGTGTATGGGATTTCCTGAAAGCGAGTTCACGACGCTACGGAAACCGCGGCAGACCAAACCAGATGAAAGTGCGCATTCAGCTCGGGAAAGAACTCATGCTCTTCCTCAACACTGAAGTCCTCAGACATTTTTCTTTCGTTGTTTCTTTCTTTGCACAGGTAAACAGCACATTTCTTCTTCTACTCTTGCATTATTGGCAGAGCAGACGCTGAATGCGCACTTTCATCTGGTTTGGTCTGCCGGCTTCCGTAGCGTCGTGATCGCGCATGTGCGCGCTTTCAGGAAATCCCATACACTACTGTTTATGCTCTAAAAACATTCTAAATGACTTCGTTTCGAGTAAATTCTGGATGCTACCCACTCAGGACACTTGGAATACATTGGACGAGCATTATGGAGGAATATTGACACGTTTTTTGTGGACTTTTATGGACCTTTCTGTCTCGGGCACCATAGACCTCCATTATTTGAATGTCAGCAGACAGCAAGAAGCCTCCCAGATCTCCAGATGCATTTGAGATATCAAAAAAGTACTCCAGAGTGTTGTTGAGCATGGGGGTGAGTAGAAAATGAAGGCTAATCATGTTTTGGGTGTACTATTCCTTTAAAATGAGCCTTATCAGTCTACCTTGAGCTTCACAGCCCCCCTCCTCACCCACCATCTCCATTCATCTCCTGGTTGCAATCTTTACTAACTGTAGCAGCAACGTCCACCTCTTCCTCTTCGGTTCTTTGAAAGAACATGTTTATTTGGGAAGTTTTTTCCGTTCTTCCAGCAGCTCCTCTTTGCTGTTTCTTTTCTGGAATCCGCTTAAGTACATCTTTTTGGAATCCATCGTCGCTAACACATTGTACGTAACGGTTAAGGTTTTAATCGACGCACTGGATTACCCATAATTCCAAGTGGTACATCGTTCTTTTAAGATCTTTATTGCGGTTTAAAACATATTATATAAGTGTTTTTTTTTTTTAACCAACCATCTAATTAACTATACACAGTAATTAACAGTCCCACTGACTGCTTTTGCTATTGGTGTCGTGTTTAAACGGCTCACCATCATGCAGACATCTGCCATGTGTTGGGGTATAAACACCGTCTGGTCAATGAACTTGGAGTATTTTGGGGTTAAGAGGAATTTTTCGCTCCATTACATCACTAAGGAGTCGTCCTAGTCTAAAATTTTAGCGATTTACGCCCCTGGTTAAAAGTAAGAAGGCAGAAAACTAATGGAAATAGTGAAATAAACTTGATCAACCTTGAGGACATGTCAATAGAGGAATAAAAGAGTTTAACATAACTCCAGCCATTGTGGTTTCTACTCTATTGTCCTAGATGACAGTCAGCTGTGGGTCAGACTACAGGCTGCAAACAGCAGGGTGTGCTCTGACTGCCACGTGTTTTCGGATGGTTCAACTCATATTAAATGTTTTCTAAATAAAAATTTTTTAAAAGTCACGCATTTTACAGCCAGAATAGTGTTCAGAAAGACATGTTTAGATCATAAACCGCAGCGACTGATTGCTGTAGCTTAATTGCAACGCTAGCATGGAGGAGCTTGTTTCTGCGAGGTTTGTCCTCCTCTCCCCATCATGTGGTTTATTCTGTCCTGTCAGCGAATGCAGCTACACAGCTAACAGCAGCTAACATCAGCTAACAGCTAATCATCATCAAACAACGGTTCATACCTTCACCGGCACGGAGGACGCCATCACATCTATCTGCTAGGTTTGGTTAAAATAGAAAGAGACCCGCTGCGAACAACATCCGTCTGCAGAATGAACACCCACTATTCTCTTCCTTCTTCTTCTTCTTATGGGATTTTATGGCGGTTGGCAGACTTGTGAATTGTGCATTACCGCCACCAACTGATATGGAGTAAAGCAAGAAAACAGGAAACGATTCACCCCCCCAAAAAAAAAAAAAAAAAAAAAAAAAAAAAAAAAAAAAACCTGTGTAACTTAAACCAACATAATACTAAATCACATTTGCCCATATAATTTTAATTTACTCTAGGTCATCTTAACTCTGCCAGTTTCTGATGGTCCCATCGGTCCTCCCATCATACTTCCAACCATCTCCCAGTTCAAATCTTTAATGTCCAGATATTTTTCTGCAGCCTTCACTATTATTTTGATTTTTTCCGTTTTTTTTGTTGTCTGTGCAGTACAATTAATAACTTCTACCATGAAAAGAACAAAATTTGTCTTTTTAACAATAAGTGAGTCTTCATCAATTTTTAGAGATTTCTCTAGAGGTTTGGAATTTGCTGTGTGTTGAACTGTAGGTTTGGGTTTTTCTGACTGAGATGGGATCCTTTTTGCAGCTTCAGCGTAGGTTATTCCGAGCTCAAATTTCATTTTTTTAATTTCCTCAGACCTTTTGCTTGCTTCACAGCCGCGATAGGCAGCAGTATGTTCTCCACCACAATTACAGCATTTTATTTTAGCTTCTTTTCCACATTTTCCGTACTCATGTCTATTCTCTTCCTGTTTTTGGGTAAAAAATAAAAGCACTGCGAAAAAATATGCATATATCCACACCCAATTACTTAAATGAGAGATTATCTTCTTTACGAGCCAACCTTTGGTTATTTATCACCGAGCTACACCCAAGTGTGTAGATAATTGTTTGTAAAAAAAATATTAACCAAAGGGGGTTAAGATGTATATATATTTTTTTTTACAAAATAATGCAGCAAGTTTACTAGTC